GCGCGCGAAGGGTCGGCCGGGGTGAGGGAAACCACCGGGGCCCCTGCCCGCCGCGTATCCCAGACCCGAACGACGCCATCCCGCCCCACGGAGGCCACCTCCGGCGGCCCCGAAAACCGCGCCCCGTCGATCGCGTTAATAATACTCCCATGCGCGTGCGCGGCGTGAAAGGTGGTGGCCGCGGTGAGATCGGAGACCCCGGGTGGGGGGCTCGTCGGGGCGCCGCCGCCGCGGGAGGCCGCGGCGGGGTCCCCCGCGAGGCGATCGAGGTCGAGGATGCGCAGCCCGCCGACGAAATCGCCGATCGCGACGCCGCCGCCGCCGTGGGCGAGGGTGCAACACTTCACCGGCACCCCCACGCGCACGGCGAGGGCCTCCCGCAGGCTGCCTTGCCCCAGACGATAAAGATTCAACGCCCCGGTCGCGTTGGGGTACTGCCCGACGACGACGAGGCCCGCGCTGCGTGGGATCCAACCGAGGCCGAACGGGGTGAACAAGAGGCTTTTTTTCTGATGTTCCATGATCTGCTGACGGCTGAGACGCCAGGTCTCCTCTTTTTGCGCCCGCTCCGCGTCGTCGCGGGCGGCCATTGCGAACCCGCGAGGAAGAAAGGGAGGGGGGGGGGGAGGGGAAAGATCGAGGGAACGGAAGGAACCCGCGTGGCGCGATCAATAATGAAAAAAGAGGGTGATTACGGCGTGCGTTAGTTTTTGTTTTTGGTTTTTTTGTATGGGTGGGTTTAAAATAGATAGATTTGGGGGGTTGTGGTTGTTGGTCGTGGTGGTTTAGGGCAAAACAATCACTATTGATTTTGATTTGGCTTTATAATTTGTGCATGGGGGAAATAATCGAGAGAAACATTTAGAAATAAATGGAAGGGGAAGAAATAGTGGGTAGGGTGGGGAGCAGGAAAGATTCTATGCATCACAAACCGAAGGTTCGTGTTTTCACTTATACAGGAAAACACACACAATATGGGCTGGTGATGGGAAGAGTGGAAGTGGTCCATTTTTTTACGATTTACCTCTGCCTCTCCTCCCACGCGCAGCCCTCTGATCGCGGCGCTTGTTCTGCTTTCTTAACAGGATTGCCGGATTTCATTACCTCCCCTACCGTTATCCAACAACCGTGATATAAGAAGACAAAAACAAGGCCAAAATACGTTTTATAAATAATTCTCACTGACTGACTGATTGGCTCACCATTATCGGAAAATTATAATATTTCAGAAAATAATAAGACGCACAAAGATCCATTTGTGTGGTTAGATTTTAACTTGAAAATATTAATAATATAATAATAATGATAATAATAGTAAATTAATAAATAATAATAATAATAGTAATAATAATAAAATCATCCCGCCGATAACGTACTTCCCAGCAAACGGCGGAGGAAGAAACGGCCGCAATGGCTTCTTCCGCCCCCTCTCATCTGTCGATCGCGGCTTCAGCTGAACATTTTCTTGAACAAGGACTTCTGCTTTTGGTTGTACGCTCGTCTTTCGTTCGAAACCTGCATCCGAAGCGCCTTGGCGTCCGCGTTGTCGGGATCCTCGCGAAGAATTCGATCCAACGCTTCCAAGGCCTCATCCCAGTCCTGACGGATGTTGAGAGCCTTGGCCATGCGGAAGAGCGCCTTCTTCTCGGAGGGATTCATGCTGATAATATTTTTGCATATGGTGATCGCCTCGCCGTGGTTGCCCGTCATCAATAACACCTGTGAAAGATTCCCCATCGCGCGAATACGCGTCTTTTGCCACTCCGCCTCCCCTTCCTCGTCGGGGCCGAAGAAGTCCCCGAGGAACTCCTGTGCGCGGCGGTAAAATCGCTCCGCGAGGGCGAGATCCCCTTTCTGAAAAGCCGCATTTCCTTTGTCGATACGAAGGCTCCCTTGCGCGATCCGCTCCGACGCGGCGAGCCCCCACGTCGGGATCGTTTTCAGCTCCCGCAGCGTTACGTCGTAGGAGACGTCGGCGTTTTCCCGCGCCTCCGCGGCGGGGATGCCGAACTCTGGATGCGCCTGAGGAACAAGCGCGGAAGCAATACGGAAAATCGCGGATTCCCCTTTTCGCATGCTCTTTAGACATTCCTCAAAAAACGGCGGCAACGTCGTATCCCCCAACACAAGCCTCCACTCTTGTTTCTCCCACACCGCCGTCATCTCGTCCTCGTTTTCGGGGCTGAAGGCGCCAGAGTAAACCGCCACATCCACCACCACCTCCGACTCGAACTCCGGATTCGCGTAATCAACCCCTTCCGTGAGGGTGCGTTTCATCAGCGAGCGATCCTTCTTCTCGGAGATATCCTCCTCCCGGGTCCACCCAAGGAGCTCCACCTCGAATAACAAGGTCGCGTTGCCTGGGATTTTCGGCGGGCTCCCGGCCGCCCCATAGGCGTAATCCGCGTAGCATTTTAACACCGCCGTCTCCCCGATCCGCATCGTCGCCACGCCTTTATCCCACCCTTTAATCACCTGACCTTTGCCAAGGGTGAACTCAAAGGGTTCACCACGCTCCCGGCTGCTATCGAAGACGCTCCCGTCCGATTCCAGACGGCCGACGTAGTGCACGATCACCTTCGCCCCGCTCACGGGGCGCGCCCCATGGCCTTCCACGAGGAGGGTTTTGAAAAGCCCCTCATGGCAGCCGGGCACGGCCGTTTCGACGTTCAAAGGGTAGACGACATCCGCCTGAGGGCCTTCCTCGCCAAGTCCGCTCGAAACCGAGCTCATATCTTCTTCATTGAAATCTGACATTTGCTTTCGACAGGACGAAGAGGAAAAATAAGAGAAAGCAAACCCTTAAAAAAAAAGAAATCGCCCGGAAGAGTTGTGTGTGAAAAAGTGTGTTGCTAAATGCTGACGATTATGGGTATATCCGTGAGAAAAAGGGGAGATCGAAGGGGAAAAAAGGAATGGTGCTTCAACAAATTGCATTCCCTCACATTACATACAACTCTGAAATATATATATATATATATATATATATATGTATCTAAAGAGAAAGAGATAGGGTATCTTGCTTGAGTATGATGAAATGCGCAATATTTTTGTGTGCTCTAGCGGGTGGATTCCAAAAGACGAGGAGAAAACGCACCCCA